TGCTATGAGTCAAACTTGACTTGATGGCACCTAACAGTAACAACAGATTTTTAACATCACTGTTATCCCTGTATTTGAGAATATATTGATGTCATTTATTAAAAATTAACTACCCTTTATATGCTTTTACCTACATTTTGTCAACTCCAGGCTCAATTAAATATTCAAGGGGACAACATGACTTTCAGATTTTTCTTATTAAAAGGTTGCTTGCATGAACTGAATTGCTAACTCAAAGACCAGCTATTCAAATTCACCAGCTGTTTCATAGGAGAAAGATGTACAAGTTCTCTTGTGTGATTTGTAGCCTCCGAAAAGCCTCCAGAGAGTCGTCTATAAGTTGGTTCTGGATCAATAGTAAAACACCATCAACATAATAGAGAATGAATCCTTTATCATTGTTTGAAAATATTACAGTAGTCTGTGACAATGCACTAGCATGATGTTTTTAAGATTCATTCTCCAAAAGTCTATGTGAACAGTAGGAATTAAGGGGGAAAAAATGTAAACTAACTCCTGATTATGAAACATTTTTTATTTGGTTTTGTTTCAGAGGCAAGATCCTGCTTCGTGGAACGAAACTTTTTCTACTATGTCAAGGAATGTTCTAAATATTAGATACACTCTATTGCCCTATTTCTATACTCAAATGCATGAAATCCATGCTCATGGCGGCACTGTGATTAGACCTCTTATGCATGAGTAAGTTGAAAGTTTTGAGGGGTTTTTGTGTGTTTTGCTTAATATGGGGAGATGTTTTTAATTTAATTTATTCAATAACTTCATACAAGTAAATATATAGAATGAGAATTTCCTGATACAAATTGAGCCTATAATTAGCTTACACGTAAGAGACTAATAAATATTATATAATAATACTTGTAAATCAGTTTCTATAAATCAAGCATTCTTACCTATAAGAACATCTACAATGCCTTCTGTTATTTCACTGAATATTTTGAAAAATATGCAACGGCAAGTAATATCTATGTACAATATTCAAAGTCATTCACACGTACAGTAATTAAGTAAATATAGGTAAGTACTTGACTGAAGAGGATTATCTTACCTCTTCTTGGAAATAAGCTAATCACAAACTCAAGAGAAATTATCTTGCTCTTAGAAATTTTAGAATCACTCAAACTTCTATATCACAAAATTAGGAAAATTCAATTCCATGGAATGTATTAAGCAGATACCTTCTGTAAGTGTTATACTATAAACAAAAAAAAAATCAGTATAAAACAATCACAGACAATTCCTTAATCGAATACCCCCAGTATACTCAGTATCTAGGAAAAGTTATTTTTTGGAGAGGGACATCATGCTTGGAAATGGAGAGTGACAGAGAAAGAAAGGAAGAACCACAACCACGTGGGTTGATACAGTGACTGTGGCAAAGTGTTTGAGTGTGTCAGACATTGTGGGGATGGCACAAGATAGAACAGGGTTCAGACTGATTGTTCATAGAATCGCTATGATTCATACTCAATTTGTTGGCACCTTTCAAACTACAACATGTTACTCAACTAGGTGGCTTGAGGTAGTGATTGTAGCAATGGGTTCAAATGTGTCAGTGATTTTGAGGCTGGCACAGGACAGGACAAGGTTCAGATTTCTTATTCAGAGGCTCACTATGACTCTTACTCATCTTGATAGCACCTAACAACAATAGTATACTTACTTCTTTGTGTACTCTTGATTCCCCACTAATTGAATGAGGAACATTTCTTCCTGTTAGATCTGAAATTGCCACATGTAGAATTCAACTCAAGGGCGACCACTATCTAGACCTTAATTAACTTTAAGAAAAATTTATTAAAATCAGATCTATTTCAAACACTTTAACTCCAAATTTACAAATGTCTTGGGATGTGTAAAACAGTAGAAATATATTAAAATTGCCTATGTAATGACTTCAAGTACTTTAAACATATTCTTTTCAGAATTATCAAGTAAAAATTCTTTTAGTTTTTTTTCATGATTCTCTTCTAAGGAGTTTATAATTTTACTTCTTAGTTTGTTACTTATATGTGAGAAAAACCTTTAATTCTTTAGTTCTCTTTCAAGAAACTATTTTTTTAGGTCCATTATATTTCTTTTTATTTTGTCAGGAAATTTAGTCATGGACAAGATTTATCCTCGTCTATTATTACTACACATTGAATTATGAGTGACAGAATTGTCTGAGTTTTAGAGTTTGGTTTTTATTTCTTTTGCACAAAAATGCAGTTTGACAAATTATTTCATAGTATCAGATAGAGAGACTTCCTTTTTGTTATGTGACATTGATTACAACTGATAGCACTCTCTAGTCAATGGCTCTGAAATGTGTCCTCTCCTGAGCCAACCTCACTATCTATGACACACTTGAGACCATTGTCACAGTTCCTGTGCCAATCCTTCTCATCCAGACTTTTCTTCTCTGTGGAGACCATCTACCTTTCCAAGCAGAGACAGACTGTTTTGATTGAATTTGACTATTTGCATTTCTTTCTGTCAAGGTTCTTTAATGAAAGGGAAACATGGGATATATTCAAGCAGTTTCTGTGGGGCCCGGCATTTATGGTTACTCCCGTAATGGAATTTGTAAGTACTAAAATGAATGATTTTCTTAAACAAATGTTTTGTGTGTTTTTTTTTTGTTTGTATGTATTTTTATTTCTGTATCTTTACATTTCAGGGTAGTGATAGAGTCTACGGCTATGTCCCTAATGCACGATGGTTTGATTATCATACAGTAAGTACTGAGGAAATTGTGGTGACTTGATAAAACAGGTGCTGGTAGCAATGTAATCATATCTTTTTCATAAATGATGTGTTTGGATTTTGTATATTCAAAGAATCACAGATATTTCCTTCTAATTAGGCTGAATTGAATTAATACATAGTGAGAGAGTGAGTTAATTTATTTAAGGGAGCTTTTGTGGCCTAGTGATAAGAAGCTGCAGTTCCAAAGGCAAGTGATTCAAACTGATTAGTGTTTCCATGAGAGAAGGTCAGGCAATCTCTTTACTTTCAATTTAATGCCTCTGAAAACCTGCTTAGAGTCAGACATGAGTTGGGGTCTGATGCAACAGCACATATAACAACAATACCCTAGTTAATTAAGGAGCCTGGACAGTGTGTAATGTGTCAGCTGTCAACCAAAAGGTCAGAGGCTTGAATCTATCAATTGTTTTGCAATAAAAAGATGGACAGTCTTGTCCTATAAGGAGCTGACTCCATAGCAGTTGGGTTTGGTGTATATTAACTGTGTTGTCAATGGTCTGTTTACGTACACATAGCAAGACCATCGTACTTTATGAGACCTGTAAAATCATCATTACGATGGACGCAACCCTTTTTTTAAAAAACCATGCATGTGGCAAATCAGTTTTTTGACTTTTCCAAAACCTACAAATTTAGTGTATGCTAATATCACCCTCAAAACGGAATCATACATTACCTTCTTTCTCCTAACATGATGCTCAGAAATGTGGAGGGTCGGGGAAGGAGAGGAAGACCCTCAACCAGGCGCATTGACACGGTGACTGCTGCAGTGGGATCTTGTGTATCTGGAAGAGTGAGGATGGCACAGGACAGGACAGGGTTCAGATCTATTGTTCATAGGGTTGCTAGGGGTCATACTCAACTCGATGAATCTAACAACAACAAAATACAGGAAGAAAAAGTTGCGTTTGAAGTAATTATAAAATCAAATACTTAGGTTGTATTTTAAAACAACAGGGTTTCCTGAATAAGTGTTTGAAGTTTTTATTTCTAATTGACTATAGAATTATTTGATTATGAAGTGCATTCCTCAAGGAAGCAGGTGTATTAAGGTTGCTGATGATTCCCTATCTTGCTAGCTTCATTTTTCTTTCCAACGTTCTCATTTCCAGGGCTCTGATATTCATATTAGAGGACAGTTCAATACCTTTGCTGCTCCATGGGATTACATAAATCTGCACGTCCGTGGTGGACACATCTTGCCATGCCAACAACCAGCTAATAACACATTTTACAGGTAAATGATGTATTCTGAGATTCACTTTTAGGTACTGAGATACATCATGCAAGAATTGGCAAAAACTGGTAAGGGCCTGAGATTTTAATACAGATTAACGGTTTAGCTGACTCACAGTTTCATGGATGTTGGATCAAGAACAAAGGACTTGACTTATCACACACAAAATTGAACTAAGTTTTGTTTAAGTTTCCTTGTCACGTAAGTTATACAAGGATGTTTCATATGCAGTAGGATTTGAGTCATAACTGAGAAACCTCAAATATATTAGAATACCTTGTTGTTGTTGTTATGTGCCGTCGAGTCGCTTGCAACTCATAGCGACCCTATGTACGACAGCCCTAAACTCCGCTCTGTCCTGTGACAATCGCACTGTCTCTGACACTCCCATCCCAATTATCCCAGTCACTGAATCAATCCACCTCATAGAGGGTCTTCCACTCCTGTGCTGTCCCTCCACCCTCCCAAGCATAATGTCCCTCTCTAAGGACCGGTCTCTCCTCACAACATGTCCAAAGTATGTTAGACGGAGCCTCAGAATCCTTGCCTCCAAGGAGCCACCCGGTTTAACCCTTTCCAGGACAAATCTGTTTGTTTTCCTAGCAGTCCATGGTATTCTCAGTACTCTTCTCCAGCACCACAGCTCAAAGGCATCAATTCTCCTTCTGTCCTCCTTGGTCATTGTCCACCTCTCTGATGCATAACAAGTGATTGCGAAGACCATGGCCTGTATCAGACGCACCTTAGTCTCCAGAGAGACACCATTGCTCTTCAGTACTCTGGAGAGGTCCCTAACAGCAGACTTTCCCATGGCAATGCGCCTTCTAATTTCCTGACTGCTGGTGCCAAGACTGTTGACTGTGGAGCCAAGCAAACTAAAGCTGTGAACAATCCCAATCTCTTCACCATCCATCCTGATGCTGCCAATTGGTCCAGTGGTGAGAATCTTTGTCTTCTTGACATTGAGCCTCAATCCGTATTGTAGGCTGGAGTCCTTGACCCTCTGCAGCAGGCGCTTCAGGTCCTCTTCAGTTTCAGCAAGCAGGGTTGTGTCATCCGCATAACGCAGATTGTTGATAAATCGTCCACCAATCCTGACCCCACATTTCTCCTCATAGAGCCCAGCCTCCCGGATAATCTGTTCTGCATATAGGTTGAAAAGGTATGGAGATAGGATGCATCCCTGGTGTACGCCCTTCCCAATTTTGAACCATGCAGTGTTCCCTTGCTCTGTTCTGACGACTGCCTCCTGGTCCAAGGATAAGTTTCGCATTAGAAGGATCAAGTGTTCTGGGATTCCCATTCTTCTCAGAGTCAACCATAGTTTGTTATGATCTACACAGTCAAATGCTTTTGCATAGTCAATGAAGCACAGATAGACATTCCTCTGGTATTCCCTGCTTTCAGCCAAGATCCATCCAACATCAGCTACAATATCCCTAGTACCACGACCCCTTCTAAACCCAGCCTGGACTTCTGGTAGTTCTCTGTTGATGTGCTGTTCCAGTCGTTTTTGGATAATCTTCAGTAAAATCTTGCTTGCATGTGAAATCAGTGAGATTTTTCTGTAGTTTCCACATTCTGTTGGGTCACCTTTTTTTGGGATAGGAACGAATATCGATCTCTTCCAGTCAGTTGGCCAAGTGGTTGTTCTCCAGATTTCTTGGCACAACTTGTGTAGGCATTTATTGATCTTCTTTGTTTTGATGGAATATTTTACTATACTGGATGGTGGAAAACAAAACAAAAAGCCTTTAACAAAAACATTGCTCTCTACTTTATAGTCTTCCAATAATCTTTGCTAAAAAAGTTTTAAAAATTACAGATCTTACGAAAAGTTACCAGTGCCTCTGCTTGCAAGAAATGCAGGAAATTTACAGAAAATTTTCATCCTAGAAGATATCTTCTCTAAAGTAGGAAAATGGTCCAGAAACAAAATATAAATGAAAACTACATAGTTTCCAATTCCAGCTCTCTGAACATTCTATCATAATACCTTTCTTTGTTCTCTTGAGCTGCTTTCTGAAATCTTCAGTATGTTTTCCCTTTGTTTTGGCTTCTCGGTGGTCTAGTGCAATATTTAATGGCTCTTTTGACATCCATCCTGGACCTTTCTTTCTCCTCTGTGTTTGTAATGACCTTTTGCTTTCTTCATGGATGATATCCTTTATATCATTAAACAACTTATTTGGAGGACAGCAGTCTGGCCAATTCATTGGAAGAGATCCATATTTGTTCCCATTCCCAAGAAAGGTGATGCAACAGAAGGTGGAAATGATCTAATAATATCATTAATATCACTTGCAAACGAAATACTACTGATGTTCATCCCAAAACAGCTAGAATAGTATATAGATACAGAAGTGTCAGAGGTTCCAGCAAGGTTTAGAAGAGGTAGTGGCACTAGAGATATTATTACTGGTGTCAGATGGATCCTGGCTGAAAGTAAAGAATTCCAGAATGATGTCTATTTGTGCTTTATTGACTATGCAAAGACATCTGACAGTGTGGATCACAACAAGTTGTAGTTGACATTGAGAAAAATGAGAGTGCCAGAACAATTAATTGTGCTCATGTGAAATTTATATCAGGACTATGAAGCTGTTGTATAATCAGAACAGGGAAATACTACTGCATAGTTTAAAATTAAGGAAGGTGTGCATCAGGGTTGTATACGTTTTCCATGCCTATTCAGTCTGTATTCTGAGCAAATTATTCAAGAAGCTGCACTCTATGAGAAGGAATATGACATGAGGATTGGAGGGAGTCTCATCAATAATCTGCATTATGCAGGTGACACAACTTAACTTACTGAATGTGAAGAGGACTTGAAGCACTTGTTGCAGAAGATCAAAGCATGCAGCCTTCCTTATGGAATGTATCTCAGTGTCAAAGATTTTCTTGTTTCTACTACTGGACTGATAGATAGCATCATGATGGATGGATGGATGGATGGATGGATGGATGGATGGATGGATGAAAGGAAGGAGGGAGGGACAAAGGGAGGGAAGAAGGGGTGGATGGCTGGCTGGCTGGCTGGATGGATGGATGGATAAGAGATTGACGTTGTCAACACTTCATTTTACTTGGATCCACAATTAACACCCTTGGTACCAGCACTCAGGAAATCTGGAGACTTAAATGTACGGGGAAAGTCTGCAGTTAGGAACCTCTCCAATCTACTGAGAAGCAATGATGTCAGTTTGAAGACTAAAGTGAATCTCGTACAGGTCAAGGTCTTTCTAGTCATTTGCTATGTATCTGATAGCTGGAAAATGAATAGGGATGACAGAAGAATTGATGCTTTTGAGCTGTGGTGTTGGAGAAGAGCACTTAGTGTCTCGTGGACTGGCAAAAAAACCCAAAGAAATGTCTTGGATTGGGTATAACTGGAGTACTCTTAGGAAGCAAGGATGATAAGGCTTCCCTCACATACTTCAGACATATTACCAGGAGGGTCTATTCCTTGAAGAGGGACATGATTTGGGGGAAGGTGGATGGAGTATGTAGGAGAGGAAGACCCTGAATCAGGTGGATTGACATGGAGACTGCAGCAATGGGTTCTATTGTGTCAAGAAGTGTGAAGATGGCACAGGATAAGACAGGTTTCAGATTTATTGTTCATAAGGTCACTAAGAGTCATAGTCAGCTCGACAGCACCTAACAACAAACTAACACAATAACAATAACAACAAGTTGTTGTTATGTGCCATTGAGTCGCTTGCGACTCATAGCGACCTTATGTACAACAGCCCTAA